CCTTGCTTGAGACCACAAATGCCCCAAAGTAACTGAAAGCAGGAGGAGAGCTTGGCCTCCCCGCCTCCATTTTGTATTGCTCTCTGCCCAGTGTTGTCCCCTTGTAGCCACCTGGGGATGTAGGAAGGATAGGACTGGGGGACAGCTGAGGGACAAGGGTTGAAACGACTCCCAAGGAAAAGGATCAAAGCATAGGCCACCCCAATGAGGGCACTGACCACCAGAAATGCATCCGCTGGACCCTGCAACGGGCACTCACCTCCTGGGAACTGAATTGCTCCAATGACAACCAAAAGTGATGTCTCTGGAATCCAGAGCCCCAGAACTGACATGTAGATCAGCTAGGCCATACCATGCCTGGACTGTTTTGAGAACTTTGAAACTCCTCCCTCTCTGCCCTGAATCTTCCTCTGTTTAAACTTAAAGTTCATGTCTGTACTGCTGAATTGCTATTCATCTCTTCCTCCTCCTCCTCCTCCTCCTCCTCCTCTTCCTTCTCCTCCTCTTCCTCTTCCTCCTCCACCTCTTTTTCTTCCTCCTCTGTTCCTCCTTCTGCAAGTGCTAGGGCTCAACCTCAGGGCTTCAAACTCGGGGCTTCAGGGGCTGGGAAGGTGGCTCAGTGGTAGAGCGCTTGCCTTGCATGCCTGAGGCCCTGGGTTCGATTCCCAGCACCACATAAGCAAAAAGAAAAAAAGCCGGAAGTGGAGCTGTGGCTCAAGTGGTAGAGCGCTAGCCTTGAGCTGAAGAACTGAGGGACAGTGCCCAGGCCCAGAGTTCAGGCCCCATGACCGGACCCAAAAAACAAAACAAAAAACAAAAACTCAGGGCTTCAAACTATTGCTTGACTCTTTTGTTCAAGACTGGTACTCTACCACTTGAGCCACACTTCTACTTCTGGCTTTTTGCTGATTAAGTCTCCAGTTATGTCTCACAGGGACTTTCCTACCTCAGCTGGCTTTCCTCAGATCTCAGCCTCGTGAGTAGCTGGGATTGCAAGTGTAAGCCACTGGTGCTCAGGGTTTTTTCTATTTTTTTTTTTCCTCCTTTCTCTTCCCTTCACCACTGCTTGTCTCTTTATTTGGCATATGGAGGCCAATGGCTGGCCCTGACACTTGTAACCCCCAGAAAATCAGGCTTTTGGTATAGAACTCTGTTATGGGGTGGGGAAGGTGGAGAATGAGAAATTCTGGATGAGGTCATTTGGGAGGTTTTTGAGCTAGTGGGACATGTTTGCTAGTGGGACATGTTTGGCCACAAAGTTCACAGATGTGTGTGTGTGTGTATGTGTGTCCTGTGTCATTTATCCAATCTGATGTTCTCAGAGGCAGAAACTGTGCTCAGCACATAGCAAATGCTTGTGGCTGTTATGGAGGTGCATGCCCGTAATCCCAGCTCTCAGGAGGCAGAGGCAGGAGGATCTCAAGTGGTGACACAATCAGTGAATATTCAAATGAATGGCAAAAGGTCATTTTAGCGATAGCGGAAGGGAGGAGAGGGACAGCTAAGGTCATCTGGCTAGGGAAGCAGGTGTAAAAAGAAGAAGAGGTTATTCTGTCTGGAGCCCTTCGACTGTGGGCTATACAGGAGGCAGGCAGTTGGAGCACAGAGTGAGAAAGTGGGGAGGGGGGGCTTGACGGGGGAGAAGCAGGCAGCAGGCCCGTGCCAGGCCCTACGTGTGAAGCATACTTGATGCCAGCCTTCAAGTGCACTTCCTGCCTTTACTGCAGGAGGTGGGGTCATCAGGGCAGGCTTTTTTTTTTTTTTTTTGGGTCCAGTCGTGGGGCCTGAACTCTGGGCCTGGGCGCTGTCCCTCAGCTCTTCAGCTCAAGGCTAGCGCTCTACCACTTGAACCACAGCGCCACTTCCGGCTTTTTTCTTTTTGCTTATGTGGTGCTGAGGAATCGAACCCAGGGCCTCAGGCATGCAAGGCAAGCGCTCTACCACTGAGCCAACTTCTCAGCCCCAAGCTTTTTATTCTTACATCTCTGACCCCTTGTCTGAGCCCAGTTTTGTGGAACTTGCATAATGATTTTGTTTCTGACAGCACTGGGGTTTGAACTCAGGGCCTTGTGCTTGCTGAACAGATGTTCTACCAATGAAACGAGCCTCCAACTGGAACTTGTAAAGAGGGTTACAGAGATTAGGAGGGAGCAGTGTACACCTATAATCCAGCACCTAAGGCTCAGTGATGGGTTGAGAGGGAGAGAGAACAAGAGAGAGAATCATCTGGACTTCCCTGAACAGTTTCCTCAAGTCAGAAACTGACTTGGGCCACTGTCCATGTCAGGTACTCTTTTCCAGTTTGGGCAAGAAGTGGCTGGAAAGACTGTCCTGTGCTGGCGGGCCCCAGGTCCTGGGGACCGGATAAAGGACATCTCTTGCATCCTTGTCTCTGCTCGTGCAGAGATGGGAGCCTGCGCACATCAGCTGTGCTCACCAGGGGGCCAGGGTTCTGGGCCCTGGGCCCCCCAAGGGCTTTACAATGTCTGTGAAATCCCACATCAAATGCCAAGTGTAGCCTTGCCCTGCTCCTCTGGGGATGGACTTTCAGCTTCTTTTGGGTTCCTGGACCATGGTGGGTTCAAAAGCAGGTTAAAATCCACCACTGAAGCTGGACTGGTGGTTCAAGCCTGTAATCCTAGCTACTCAGGATGCTAGGATCTAAGGATCATGGTTCAAAGCCAGCCTGGACAGAAAAGTCCAGGAGACTTTTATCTCCAATAAACTACTCAGAAAAAGCCAAAAATGGTGCTGTGGCTTAAGTGGTAGAGAGCTAGCCTTGAGCACAAAGAAGCTTAGGGACAGCACTTAGGCCCCAAGTTCAGGCCCCAGGACTGGCAAAAAAAAAAAAAAAAAAAAAATCTACCAGTAGTACATGGCATGGGAGGTGGAAGGAGATGTGAAGATTATGGTTCAAGGCCAGCCCAGGCTCTAACCACAATGGCTGGTCATGGAGACCCATGTCTGCCGTCCTAGGGGCCCTGAGGGTCCTGAGAATCACAGACCAGGCAGAGCAGGTATAAAGCAAGACTCTGCCTTGAAAATAAGAAACAGGGGCTGGGAAAGTGGCTCAGTGGTAGAGCGCTTGCCTTGCATGCCAGAGGCCCTGGGTTCAATTCCTCAGCACCACATAAGCAAAAAGAAAAAAGCCGGAAGTGGCACTGTGGCTCAAGTGGTAGAGCTCTAGCCTTGAGCTGAAGAGCTCAAAGGAGGGAAAGCGCCCACGCCCAGAGTTCAGGCCCCACGACCGGACCAAAAAAAAAAAAAGAAAAAAGAAAAGAAAATAAGAAACAAATAAAGGAGCCAGGTGCTGGTGCTGGTGGTTCATGCCTATAATCCTAGCTACACAAGAGACTGAGACCTGGAGGGTCATAGTTCAAAGCTAGCCTGGACAGAAAAATCTCTGAGACTCCATTTCCAACTAACCAGCAAAAGGCTGGACTGGAGGTGTGGTCCAAGTGGTAAAATGGCCAGCCCTGAGCCAGAAAGCCCAGAGTTCAAGCCCTGAAACTGGCACAAAAAGGTTGGGGGCTGGGGGAGGTGGGAGTGTGATTCAAGTGGTTAGATCACCTGCCTTATGAGTTTGAGACCCTAGCATAGCCATGAACAACAGCAAAAATTACCCCCTTCCCCATCACTCTAAGGGAGAGAAAAGGAAGACTGAAGTTCAGGGACCTCCAAGCTGGGAGGAAGGTCTCCTTGGGTGTGGATTTCCTTTCCACTTGAGCCTCTTGTGGGCCCCACAAATATTTCTTAGAGACAAGTGGGAGCCTGGGGTCCTGTACAGTGGCCTGAGCCACTCTCACACCCCAAACCCCCCCTACCAGCTCAAGTCCAAAGAGACCTGCTCTCACCACCTGCCATCCGGGCACCAAGTGTTTATTATTAGAGTCCAATTTTTTTCCGCACTGCGGAGAAAGGAAGGGGGCAATAGAGAGAGGGGAACCCGGACCACCCTCCCCCCACCAGAGCCCAGGGCATCTGCCCTGTTGGGCCAAGGAAGACTTTGTGAGATCCCTGAGGGCCGCAGAAGGAGGGGGGGGGCTGGGAGCAGAAGAGGATTGTGGGCCTGGGTCACTGCTTTCCCACCGATGCCCAGGCCAGCCTTGGCCTGAGCATCCCACCCTTTGGAGAGCATGAATACTGCTCTTGTTCTTGGGGAGCCTTGGCTGAACCTGTCCCCCTCCCCCAAAAGCCTGAGGAAAAGGCCTCCTCTGGGCCCCAAAGCCCACTACGTGTTATCCTGGGCCTGCTGCTGTCCACTCGTGTCCCAGCTGCTGGCACGCACAGCATCTTGGTGGTGCTGACTAATGACCTGTCCCCAATGCTGCCGAGCCCGCCCTGGCCTGCTTGGTCATCTGACAGAGGATTCTGTTTCATACTCACTAATGGCTGCCCTGTTCTGTCCCTTCTCCTGACCCTTAGACTCAGGGTCTGATACAGGCATGGTCTGTGTCCCTTGCCTTGGGACCCAGCAACCAAGGCCTGGGCCTAGGTCTTGGGTAAGGGCCAGGGGAAAAAGGCTTGGGGAGGCCATGGGGGCAGTCACCAGCCCTCAGCCAGGGGCCTCCTGCAGTCAGCTTGGAGAGCAGCGCACCAAGGGTGAAGGCCCCTCTTCTGTCTAGCTTAGATCCGGCTTGCTGCGCCACCTCCTGGTCCACCCAGTGAGAGAGAAAGAGAGAGAGAGGTGAGGGCACTGTGGAGTGGGAGTGCCTGGGTCCCGCTGAGCTGCGGTGAAGTGACAGCACATGGTAGCCTGTGCCATTCAGCAGCGAAGGCCTGAGAGCAGCGCGCTGGGCATGGAGCAGGCCAGGAGGCAGGCGACCCCTGTGTTCCAAACGGCTCGTTGTTCCTGGACACTGGTGGGTGGGTAGGCAGGAATTGGGGGCAGGCACCCTCAGGAGCCACAACCTGGTCCCCCACCCTCAAGGTCCTCCCTGGACCCCCTGCCCCAGGCCCTCTTGGTAACAATGGGGGGAGGCAGCCCCTTCCCCCAGGTCTTGGGTATTGACCTCTCCCTGTGCCAGGGGGTCCCAGCTGGGTCTGCCTAGACTCAGAACCCTCCGCTCTCTGAGCTGCTCCGGCTGTGGTAGCTGGGACTGGGGGTCTGGGAGGGGCTGCGCGTGCGGCTGCGGGTCCCACGACTCCGGCTGCTGTAGCTTCCGTGGCTGTGGCCTGGGCTGGGACTGCGGCTGTGGCTCCTGCTGGAGTAGTCACTGCTCAGGCAGCTGGAGGAGGAGGAAGGACTGGGCCGGTAGTAGGGGATGGGACGCTTGCGGGCACTGTGGGGGAGAATAAGTTTGATTACAGGCCACCCAGGTCTCTGACCTCTGCCTGTCCATGGCTCTCTCCCATCCCAGCAGTGGCCAGAGTTCCTTGCCTGTCTTCCTGGAGGCCTGGCCTTAGGGACACCCCTACCTGGGGTCATTTGTTAATTGCACGTGGATTATTTTGGTTCTCTCCTTGCCAGTCTTCAGAGAAGAAGCCCAGGTCTCTGCTTGATCTGAGTCTAAAATCTTAGCATGAATATTTCAGAGTTAGGCCTTTGAACTGTGGTTCTCTTGATCTCTGCCTCCTGAATAACTGGGATGATGGGAATGAATAAAACTTTTTTTTTTCTGGTCCTGGAGCTTGGTACTAGCCTGGGTACTGTCCTTGAGTCTCTCTGTGCTCAAGGCAAGCGCTCTATCACTTGAGCCACAGCACCACTTCCGGCTTTTTCTGTTTATGTGGTTCTAAGGAACCCAGGGCTTCATGCATGTGAGGCAAGCACTCTACCACTAGGCCATATTCCCAGCCCTGAATAAAACCTTTATTGGTGCCAGTACTGAGCTCAGGGTCTGAGAACTTTCCCTTAATTTGTTCACTCAAGGCTGGTGCTCTTCCAGGTGAGCCACAGTTCTATGTCTATTTTTTTGTTTGATGGTTAATTGGAGGTAAGAGTCTCATAGGCTTTCCTACCCTGGCTGGCTTAGAACCAGGATCCTCAGATCTCAGCTTCCTGAGTAGCTAGGATTACAGGCATGATCTACCAGCACCTGGCTTGAAACTTTTAAAAATAGACACACACCAACCCAGCCCAGCTGTGGCCTGGTCCTGCTTCTCTGTCCCCTATGGAATTGAAGGCTTAGGCTTGTCAGGTCATTCAAAGAGAACAGGAAGAACCCTGGCCCCTGCTGCTCATGACCAAGGCCAGTCCCAGTCCCAGTCCCAATCTCAGTCCCACTGGGACTCAGCTACCTCCCGCTGGCCCTGAGTTAGTGTGAAGGCAGGAGGCTAGGACCCAGAGAAAAGAAATTAGTTAAGTGGGCAGCAGTGCCCCACCTGGTGTTAATTCTGAGAAGAAAACAGGTGTGCATTAGTGGGAGGAGGAGGCAGCCTTGGGAGGGGGCCTGGTGGAAGATGGGACATCTGACTTGTCCTCTCTTTAATACTGGATGGGATGGGGGGCAATGCCCTCTCCCTTAGAGGCCTAGATCAAGAAGTGCTATGACGAGCTAATTTGAGAATTGGATGCTGTTGGAGTTGAAACCATGCTCGGGAACCCCATTCCTATTGCGCATGTGTGGTAACTGAGGCCCAGAGCAGTAGTTCAGAGGCTGCAGGGCAGGGCGGGGCAGAGCTGGGTCCTAAACTCTGCGCTCGATCCATCCAAGGTTTCAGCTTGAGTTACACAAAGGTGGAAGGAACCTATCACTGACTTCCACCAAACCAGCCACCCCCTGAGCACAGCCGCCCCTAGGCCGCCGTGCCCCCTCCTCCAGTCCCCAGGGGGCTGGGCGGTTAGTGAGAAAAGGAGAGGCAGAGGCAGATAGATGGAAGGCTGACCAGAGCCGGACCAGCTCACACGGGTGTCTCCCCCGCGGCCTGCGGGGAGGGGTCCACCCGGCCCCCGGGCCGGCCCCAGGCCACTCAGCAGGCTGGACCTTGAGACGAAGGAGAGAAGGCGATGTCAGTGTCGACGGACGGGTGTGGAGAGACTGACCGGCTCCAGGGATGACGGGCTCCACGCGGTCCAGCAGAGTCCGGGACACCTCCCTCCCTCCCTGCCCTTCTCCAGCTCCTCCACGGCCGCTCTCCCCGCCCCTTGCGGAATCCCCGCCTCCGAGCAGGACGCCCCGCCCCTTGCTGAAGCCCCGCCTCCTAAAGGCCGCCCACCCCTTAGGAAGCCCCGCCTCCGAGCAGGACGCCCCGCCCCTTGCTGAAGCCCCGCCTCCTAAAAGGCCGCCCACCCCTTAGGAAGCCCCGCCTCCGAGCAGGACGCCCCGCCCCTTGCGGAAGCCCCGCCTCTGGGCGGGACGCCCCGGCCTTTGTAGAGGCCCCGCCTCCGAGCAGGACGCCCCGCCCCTTGCGGAAGCCCCTCCTCCTAGAAGGCCGCCCACCCCTTACGGAAGCCCCGCCTCCGAGCAAGCCCCTGCGGACAGTGGTCCTCCCCCCCCCCCCCCCCCCCCCGGCCCCCGCAGCCCCCGGGTACCTGGTGATGCGCCGCGGCTCCATGAAGCTCGGCGAGTCTCGGCGCCGCTTGCGGATGGGCGAGTAGCTGCGGGACCGGCGCCGGGCGCGGGCGGCCTCCCCGTCCGCGTGTCGAGCGCGGCCTTCGCCGTCCTTGTCCCTGCAAAGACCCACCCGAGGTGAGCCGTGAGGCCGCCGCCCCGAGCCCCGTCATCCCCACCTCCCCGCGGCCTCGCACCCCGGGCTGGGCTCCCCATCGCCCGCGCCCCGGATCCAGGTCTCCTGGTCCCGGCCCCTCGCCGGCCGCCGCGTCGCGGGCACTCACCGGCCGAGCGCTTTCTTGGGCGACGGCGAGCGGCTGGGGCTGCGGGCCCGCTTCTCTGCGGAGCGCGAGCGGGATTTGGAGGGCGACCGGCTGGAGCTCCAGGAACGCGGGTGCGCGCCCGGGCTGCGCGACGAGCTCTTTCCCTCCGGGCCGCCACGCCTCCCGTGCGGGCCCGGGGACGGCGAGGTGCTCACGGGCCGAGCGCGCGGGGGCCGCTCCTTCGTCCTGGAGAACCGGGCACAACGCGAGCTCAGAGTGTGTGTGGGGGCTGATCAGTGAACGGGGCCGGGGGTGATCGATAAATGAGGGGGTGATCAATGTATGGGGTCGGGGAGGGTGGTCAATAAGCGGGAGCCCGGGGTGGGAGGGTGATCGATGGACCGGGCCCCGCGTGGGGTGGGGGCGGAGACCGGCTCACCGTTTCCCGTGTCCACCGTGGCCTCGCTCAGAGCCCGGTTCGGGCCCGGGACCCGGGGCGCCCCTGGCGGAGTCGCTGCTGGAGCGGGCCCTGCTGAGCGAGCGCGACGAACCCCGGGGCGGCGGGGGCCGGGCCCGCCGGCGGCCCCTGCGACGGGGCGCGGACGCCGAGGACCGGGAGCGCCGCCGCCGCCGCCGCCGCCGCCGCCGCTTGGCCTCCGTGCCCGCCGCGCGCGGGGTCTGGCTGTCCTTGCCCCGCGCGGGCGGCGTGGGTGCGGCGGCCGCCACCTGGTCGCGGGCCCTGGGCGAGGGCGAGCTGGGCTTCTAACGGGGAGAGAGGCAGAGAGGGCACGGAGGGGCGGGAGGGAGACGGAGATGGGCAGGGAGGCGCCGGGAGAGAGCGAGGGGGGCGGAGAAAGGAAGAATGGGGAGAAGATGATGGAGAAGCGGAGGGGAGAAGATGATGGAAGGGGGAGATGACGGAGGAGAGATGGAGAAGCACAGGGGGGAAGATGATGGAGAGGCAGAGGGGAGAGGATGATGGAGGAGAAATGGAGAAGCACCGGGGAGAAGAAGATGGAAAGCAGATGGAGAACGAAGAGAAGATGGAGGAGAGATGGAGAAAGGGCAGGTGATGGAGGAGAGATGGAGAAGCAGAGGGGAGATTGGACCAGGCAGAAAACAGACCCAGAGACAGAGGACGGACAGGTGCAGGGTGGGGTGGGGGGGAGAAAAGGGAAGAGGGCTTTCACCAGGCCCAGGTGCAGGCCTCTAGCATCGCACACACGGGCCCCGAGCCTGCCCTGCCTCTGCCTCGCTTAGTGTCCACCTTCTGGCCTCGACAATGCAGCTCATGCAGGGGTCTCGGCATGCAAAACACAAGAGGGACGGAGCAGTGGGGGTGGAGGCTGCAGGGGATGGGGAGGACTCCAGGACGGGCACCGGGGCTGGCACTGCCCCCTCCCGCATGGGACGGACGATTCCCGGCAGAGAGAAGAGAGAGGGCGGCTCAGGAAGGCCAGACCAGGGCCAGCCCTCCAGGCCAGGTTTCCCCTCCCCCCCAGCGCAAGGGGGGATGGGCACAGGGGATGGAGGGGGGTCACACGGCACACAGAGAGGGGGCGGGGCGGGGAGGGACAACTGAACTGAAAACTCAACCGAAGAAAGGAGGAAAAACAGAAATAAAAAGAAAACAAAAAAACAAAACCCCCCCAAATGTCATTAGATACTAAAATCAAAAACAATGATCTCCTGGGGAACCTGACATTTTTTTTCTGTTAATATATATATATATATATTTTCTTTGTTTTGCAGCCCTATGGAGAGCTCAGGAAGTGTCAGTAGCTGACCCGACTGTCTTTCTGTTTCTCTCTTTTCTTTTTATTTTCTTTTATTTTTTCTTTACTTTTTTTTTTTTAGTTCTGATTTTTAAGTCCCTCTTGGTTAACGTCCACTTACCAATAAAGTGGTACTTCCTCCTTTAGTAGGTAAGTTGTGTAAAAGAAGGGAAAAGTGTGGTAGCATAAGTTCATCATTAGATTCACAAAATGCAAGAGAGATAGAGAGAGAGAGAGAAAAACGCAACCACCCCACTCTAGGCCTGAGGAGGCCACTCTGCCTCTGGCGGGAGAACCAGCAGGACCCAGCTCCCGGGGCCTGAGCTGGTGCCTCTTGGCTGATGGCCAAATAGAGATGCCAAATATTTATTTGTCCAAAAGTAGAGTTAGGACACAAAGATTAGGATACAGAAAACCAGAAAGGGTACCTGGTGTATAGGCTGGGAACCTTGAGCTTGAGAACCTGCCACTACCTCACCAAGGGACCCCTGTTCAGCCACTTTCCTCAATCTGGGCCTCAGTTTCCCCATCTGCAAAATGAGTAGCCTGGCTTAGCTTCCTGATGTCTCCTCCAGCATAAATATTCTAGAGTCTGCTTGAACTCTGGCCCCCCAACCCCCAACATCCTTCCTTGTGCAGAACTGATCCTCCTCCTTCCCATTCACGGACATCTTGTCAGAGCTGACACTACTTTTATCTTTTTTGGTAGTAGTGGGGCTTGAACTCAAGACCTTGCCTGTGCTTAAACAGGTGATCTATTACTTGACCCATGCCCCCACCCCAATGCTTGCCTTTTTATAGCTCTGTCCCCTCCCCCTCTTCCAGTCACCACCAGAAACTTGACATTGCACACCACCAGGGGTATTTGATGTCTGATTCCATTCCATAACCTCTGTTTTTAGCATATAACTTGACACCTAGTAAGGCCTAGATATCATTTATTGAGGAAGGAAGAATTTGCCTCACAAGGTCCAGGGCCAAGGCTTGTGATTGGCAGCTGATGGAGCCAACACTAGAACACTAGACGCAGTGTTATGGCCTAAAGCCTATGGGGCCATGACAACCAGTGGGAACTGGCTGTCCATTTGGGGCCTGGGCAGGTTTTGGTAGGCAGAGCAAATATTATCTAGTATCCAGATGGCTCTCTAAGTATCACTGACCTTCTTGATTCCCAGTTCACCCCCTTGCTCTAGGCCAGGAAAAGCAAAAGATTGAATTGTTGAGCAATAGCCCCTTTGAGATGGCTGTCCCTTGGTGGGTCAATATTCCCAGGAGATCCTTGACTTCCTGCCAGTAGATGACCAAAACCTCATAGGTGGCCAAGCCCCAGCCAAGGTTCTCTCATTCAGCAAATGAGAGGGACACCTGTAGGATCGTCAAATTTGTCCTGTGCCCAGGGTGGTCAGTGTCAAGTAAACAGACACCAGGTGGGGGACCCTCAGGAGCCACGTTAACAGAAGATACCTCCTCAAAGAAATCCCTAGCTTCTCTGGTCAAGGGAGGCAACAAGGCCAGCGGACAGAGTGCTACGCTTAGGAGTCAGGACTCTGATGTATGGTTCCTGTCCAGAAACTGGATTGGAGCCACAAAGGGATGGGCAGTTGGGGGAAGAAGACCAAGGCCATGAAAGCCCTTCACACAAATATGCAAGTGCCCTTCAACTTTCCATTATCTTGAGCTCAAAGTGGAGTAGAGGGATTGGAGCAAAAGAGGTCAGGGTTGGCTAGGCTGTTCAGGAGGGTAGGATCTGAGGTTTGTGGTTCAAAGCCAACCCGGGCAGCAAAATCCATGAGACACATCTCCAATGAACCACCAGAAAACCAGAAGTAAAGCTGTGGCTCAAAGTGGTAGAGCTTTAGCCTTGAGCAAAACAAGCTCAAAGACAGCTCCTAGACCCTGAGTTCAAGCCCAGGACCGACCCTCCCACCCCCCCCCCCAAAAAAAAAGAGGTTTGAATTGGATAGTTGCACACCCCTATATGGTAGTGCCTCTAATCACTGAAGTCTAAGTTCCTGGGCCAGATCCCCGGGCTGAGCTTCTTCCTGGCTAATGTGTCCTAAAGTCTAAACTCTACACCATTCTTATCAAACTCATTAAATTCAAGCCAATTGGCCTACCCCAAAGTTAAGTTTTCTGTTAGACCTTCTGGAAGGTCCCTATTGAGGCCCTCTGTTTTCCCACATATCAACTGGGGATAATCAGAGTCCTTGCTGGTTGGGTTAAAGTATGGAGACTCATGATTACCTTACAGACTAACAGGGTCAGAGTGGGCAGGAAGGTCTGACGCCCTTTAGAGGAGGTTCCTAAGGCCCAGGATGGCAGAGGATTGGTGAAGGTGCTTCTGGGTAAGGTGGCAATAAAGCTTTCCCTAGGGGAAGACTTCTAAGACCATTCACATTCTTTCCACTGAAGAAAAAAAGTTGTCATGAACTGGGCAGAGGTTGAGCCTCCTTCTCAACTTGGCTGAGTTGCATTCTTCCCTGGAACTGAGGGGAGATCAGAGGCTAGACATTATAGAACTTCATAGCTGGGCAGGACTGTGGTATCCAGAGGCCTCCGACAGCTCTGCTGTCTGTCTTTCCTCTCACCCCGCCTTCTCCCTGCTCCTCCTTCTCCCTCTCCAGACCCCCCCACCCTAGCCTGTCCTCTGCTCACTGCCTCCTTCCTTGCCTTTCTCTTACCTCTGGGCTCTCTCCTGTAAGGATGCCGCTGCACTCATGTGTCATGTAAGTCAGACCAGGCCTGGTGTTATGGCCTGCTTTCCACCTGTCCTTCCTACATTTTGTTTAGTTCTCACATGAGGGGCGGGGCTTCGAACTCAGGTCTGCCTGGCATTGAGGAGGAGCTCAGCCAGAGTTGGCTTAGTGTAAGTATGAATGAATGAATGAGGAAATGAGTGAATGGGTGAGTTTATGAAGGAGAGACCTCACTTGCCTCTGAGCTTGGTACTGCTTGCTGGTTGAGTTTTATTTTGGCTTTATAAAAGGTTTTCGAAGAGTTATGTAGAAAAGACAATGGAAGGATGTAGGACAAAGAAAGAATAAGATACTTGCTTTGGCTCCCCCTCTGTCCCTGGGGCTCAAGACACCTGCCTGCCTTGCCTGGGTCTTCTCAGATGGTCCAGGAGGACTGAGCTTCCAAGCCCCCATTAGTTGAGATACCTCTCTTAGACTAGCAGCACTCTCTCTCTCTCTCTAACTCCCTAGCTCTCTCTCCCTCTCACTCTCTCTCTCCCTCACCCTCTCTCTCCTCTCCCTCAGGCTCTCTCCTCTCCCTCATGTTCTCTCTCTCTCTTTCCCTGATGAGCAGCTTCCTCATCTCCTTCCCAGCAAGCATCACTAGGATTACCAGAACATTCTGAGCCCATGAACACCCCAGGAATAAACATGGGGTGAGGAGATGTAGCTAGACCATCTCTTTCCAAAGTTGGAGATGGAGAGTCACCTGGACCTGTAGCTGCTTCCCAGTGAGGCAGAAAACAGCGGAAATGATGGGGAAGATGGCATCCTCCAGGGCCCGCTTCAGGCCCCTCTGTGCGACTAGATGAGCACTGAGCTGGGAGCCTCAAGTCTCAGGACTTGAGCCTGTTTTTGTCTCAACTTCCCTACTGGCTGCACTGATGGACACCACTAAACTGCCCCAATTCAGAGATGGAAAGATGTTAGAGGTTTGGGGGAAGCCCTGGCCAGGTTGGGGAGTAGCCCAGCTTACCTGTTCCCTGACAGGCAAGCTAAGAGTCCACCCTACTCCCCAAATCTTCCCACAGAGACTTGGCTGAGAAGGCCCCCAAAGTCCAGTGCCTATTCCTACAGCACCCACCAACATACCCCAAAGATGCAACTGTGAGGCTCAGTCCTATACCAGCGAGTGCTCCCAGAGTCCAGCACCTTCTGCCCCTAAGCTCCACCCTGCTGCCAGGCACAGTTGGCTCCAGGGAGTCTGATGGCCTCTTTGTTCTGACCTCAGCCAGAACTTCCTCTAGTACAT